AAGGAGACATGCAAAATGTGCAGTGTTGGGGTGCCTCCAGGACCAGGGTTGGGAACCACTGGCCTAGGTGACTGAATGACCTTTGTTTTGTTTTTATGGTTTATTAGGCTATTGTTATTATATTTTATTTATTATGTTTATTGTTATTATGTTTATTAGGTTATTGTTTGCATTTGATCAGTTTTATTATTGCTGTTTGCAATTGTTCAATGTTTTTTACTATTACTCAACTTTTCAACTGTTACTAAAAATGATGAACTGAAATTAAATATTGTATCGCTGTTTGCCATTACTGTACAATGTTTTACCAATGAACTACTTTGAACTAAACAAATAATCAAATAAAATACTGAATGGAAATAAAAACTGTTGAATTCTCATTTTTAAAGGTATTTTACATGTGCAATGACTTGGTGAAGCATTTTTCCATCATTATGGATGGGTGTCTCAACTGTACTCGGGTACACTCTTGTGTTTATGAGGCAAATATGACCTACTTATGGATGTTAATAATTATTAATATTTTAGTAGACAAGTAAAGGAAATGTCATGAAAAATCACTTCTTTTCAGTCCCTAGTTTTGGTGTGGTAACGGAAAAAGCAAAAAGTGTACCAACTGTACCCAATCTACCCAAGTAGGAAATGTGTCATGAAAAATCACTTCTTTTCAGTCCCTAGTTTTGGTGTGGTAACGGAAAAAGCAAAAAGTGTACCAACTGTACCCAATCTACCCCTAAGTACTCTTTTAGTATAATTGTAAAAATGTGTACCTTCAGGTTGTGGCACACGTGTCTTTTACTGTGAAATCTTGAGTGAAAGATCTTTTTTTATAAAGTTAGCATAAAAATTACTTTACTGGACTAAAAAAACCTTAGGTTTACTTGCATGCATATATTTAGAAATCTCGTTTAAATGTATGTCAAGTATGATACAACAGGCTTTTGAGGAACATTTATTTGCACATTTCTCAATCATCATTGTATTGCATTGCATTATTTGCCCACCACAATTAAAACTATAGAGCTTTGATCATAAAACTAAGCATTTAAATATAATTTTAGTAAGACATATTAGGGACAATTGATCGATTGAAACATAGATTTACACAAGATATATTAATTTCATCTTACTTTTTGGCCATATTACAACAAATTTGGCCCTCTGAATAAAATTTTTTAATTAATTTAGTACCAACTGAACATCGTTTAACCCATTTTTGCCCACATTTTCCTGAATGGTTTCATGCATATAGTCATATTAATAGTTTCCTATGTGAACATGTTCTGCATTTATTTTCCTCGGGGTTTTTTTTTTTTTTGAAAATCATTTTTGAATGTGCAGCAACTATTGCCGGTGGGCAAATATGTTGTATGCACCCTTTCAATGTATTTTGGGTTAAAACATGTAGAATGCACTGATGGAGGCCAAAACTACATTTGCCACCACTGTAAGTGACAGAGGTGACTGAG